TTTAAAATACATCCAATTTTCCCATTTACGAGAATTCCTAAAGCGTTCGGTACTAGTACTTCTAAGTCTTTCTGAAGTAAGGTAATAGGCTTGCCCCTATTAGGTAATCATCATCATCATCATCAACAACCTTTAATAGTCCACTGCTGGACATATGCCTCTCCATAGAAATAAGGTTTTATTCTCCTATTACGTGGGGGGGACCAAAATTATACTCGACAAAGTGTGAGAACTCAATAAGCCACAGCCTACCCCATTGGAAGTATAGGCGTGTGTGTTTGTGTGAATTTCAAATTAAACTATGTTCTGAATCTGCGTAGACCAATTATTTTATTACAACTCTCATACAAATCCACTATTACATTTGAAAAAAAAACTTACGTTCTTCACAGTGACATGATACTCGTACAAAATCTGTCAAAAAGATCAGAATTTTGTTTTTTGTTTGTTTCTAAAAATACAACTCCCGCATTAGGAAAATATACTGTGTCGCGAGAGACGGTACAAACATACATGAAACGGACACAAAGAACACCCAGACTCAGATCAACAACACGGTGTGGCGACCACTTAAACCACTACGCCATCCGTGCAGTCAAGAATCAAGTACAGAATTAGTTTGAAGGCGAGATTAAATTTCTCATAGCTTTTATATTTCATGTAATAATTTATTTTTTGGCATAAAGTGGAGAATCTATATACGAAACATATAAAATATCTGCATATCTGTAATTTGTCTTGTTATATATTATTGTTATATGTTATTAATGTTGTGATATATGTATACAATGTGTACTACATGTGTTATTAATGATCTGCAACAGGGTTTACGCATAGCATCATTTTGGGCCCAATTGAAAACCAGCGTCAGACTTCCATCTGACATAAGGCTGAATTGGGTCCGTTTTTGGCATCGTTGGTAATCGAAATTGCAATTGTTCAAAATGTTGTATTATTGCCAAAATAAACGATTTTTCTTTCTTTCTTTCTTTCTTTAAAAATTTTGAAGTTTGAATAACAATTTTTAAATATCTATGTACTTAATAAAGATACGGCTCATACAGGGTAGGAATTTACATTTAAAATTTAAGTTTATTGACAATACACAATAATTTTGTAGCAAGTTTAATTTTCCAGATTCCTTATACTAAACAATTTAAATAGATATTCCTTAACGTTCATTGCTTTCATACATTCACATCACATCCACCAAAGAATAAAAATAAAACGGGTTCAATTATTTAAAAACTATAGCTAATTCTTTACCTGTCAATAACTTTAACGAGATCATTCATCAAATAAATCTTTTCTTTATATTAGATGCTGTTCCACCATTGAAATAAAACAAACCACATATTAGATTAACAATCTAATTATATGCACTGAGTTACATCACCTGAGACGAAAAATGATTACAGAACAGTCACTCACCGTTATTTAAGTTTTAAGTGATAAACTCTTGGAGGTTAGTAACACATTGCACACGAACCGTGAATTTTCATTACTTTTCACATTAATTGAAATACGAATTTACCCGTTCATATAAATTCTGTAAGGTGCAATTCCTTCAAATGATAAATTTATTTTTTTGCTAATTCAAAGATAAACTGAACTAAAATTAAAACATACCGAAATGTCAATGGAAAATACGGAAAATAACATTTTTGTTATAACACTTTATGTTGCCAATGAAACTTATTATGAAACTTATAGGTTTCTGTAAAATAAACGCCGTGTAAGAAGTGTTCTCAGCGTTAAAAGTATTTATAGGCTGTAATAAAGTTTATTACTAATAAAAACCCTTACGGCTACATTAATTTTTATGACATGTAGATTTCTGCACATCACAACCTCTTAATAATAAAGCTCATATTGTAGCTAATAATTTGTTACAAGTCTACCAGAGTGTACAAATAAATTATTTTATAAAGTCTACTATATTCTATAGTGTTATAATATTAATAGCACAGTTCATAACTTGTACCACAAAATTGTTATGCAATATCTGTCAGTTTTCGGCGTTCACGCAACGTGCAGTACAGGGTTCATTGCCACGGTCGGCCACTTGAGAGGTCGTATTACGTAAAACTTAATTGGAATGAGCATCTTTTTTTTAACAATGCGCTCGATATAATTATTGTACAAGATGAGTTACATAACGATGTGTTCATGATGCGTATCCGAGATCTGATTTTTTGTATCAAGAAAACGAGTTTGTTTAATTTAATTTTTATGATTGTTTATTTATAATTAGCAGTTAAGTGGCGAATAAGTGGAATTGTTAACGTCTTTGTTTGCTATGTGGAAGGAATACAAGGGTATTCCCTAATCTTATAATAATTTCTCACGAAGCCGTGAGATGCTAAGCGATTAGAGGCACAAAAAACAGATCACAGATCTGCTTGCAGTTGACCTGCTTTATTTAGGAAGAGGTTAAGTTCTACACAGCAACTTCATAGAGGGTACGATAAGCTGTTGAATTCTTTTTGTTACAGAGATTGTACTCAATAGGTGAGCCCTTGGCATATTTGCGGTAGGTGACGATGCAGAGGAATATTTTGACGCTTGTAAATAGATATTGCATATATTTTAAGTTTGATTTTTTTTATTATTTAATATTATAAAAAATAAAACCTGTGTTAAAAATAATTATGTAATCTTATCTTAATAAATTTATAAGTAATTTTCATATTAAAGTACCTACCTAAACTCAAGTAAATTAATGTTAAACAAACTGGTCGCATGATGGTCAAGATAAACCTTAAATACTAAAGGAGTACTTGTTATTTTACTTATATAATTAAAATTCAATATGATAAAGAAAAAAATAAAATCTTCTTTCTAAGGAGAGGCCTATGTCCAGCAGTGGACTATTAAAGGCTGTTGATGTGAAGGAAAAATTATTGGGTATATAATATGTTTGTGTTTCCAGAAGTACATGAAAAACTGGAGAATAAACGTTTAAGTAGCAGTGTTATAATTAAACGCCACTTCGTGTATTTAAATGTCAAGCAAATTTCATACTTCAAAACATATTTCATCGCGGAAAGGTGAACTGCAATATAATCAACATGGAGAATAATTGTCTTACCAACATCTAAAAACTTCCCACAGTGAAGCATTATTCGAATTACGAATATACATCTAGATGTCATTAAAACTAGTCTTGTAACTAGACTTATATAATTAGCATTATGCGACGTTTTCATAACAATTTCAATAATTTTCACATCAAGATGTGGTCTTGTCAAGGGATACCTATATAAAGTGATCGATAATAATGATAATAATAATAATATGATTTATTTCACAATATGGCACAAAAATACATAAACAGCGTAACAAACACGATATACACAGTATTTACGATAAACTTTGGTACCCAGAATAAGATTCAACTTGCGTTTAGGGTACCAGCGACCTCGCGCACACTATAAACATACGTCGCTAATACTTGTTAGACAACAGCGTTAATCTAAAAGCAAAATACAAAACTAATAGACAAATAAAAAAAAATGGGAGAATAAACAAACAAATAAATAAAATAATAAAATAATGTAATGTATCGATATCGACCTCTTGGGGTCGGCCTCGGTTTCCTCGGGGGTATAAACAAAAACTGATTTTGGCGATCAACGAGGTCTAAAAATCGACTCCTATTTATTGACACAAGTTCTTATTTCAAACTTTCAAGAAAATGTGTTAGTTGTGTTACGTGTACCATCTTGTTATAAGAATTGAAATGGCTTGTAGTATGTTTATGTGGGAGTCGCCACTCCCACATAAACATACTACAGCGCCATCTAATGAAGACACACCGAACTACGGAGTAACTACTAAAATAAGAATTGCTAATCCTGTATCGCGATATAAAGAATTCCCGCGCCGGTTAGCATATATACAACTTCCCAACATCAACCGTTGGGCCGCTCCCCGCCAGGCATGATCACCTCGCCTGGTCGGAGGACCCTCCCTTTGTGTTGGAGGGACATGACACCCGTTCCTCCACAGGCTAATGTTTTAGCAGGAAGTATCATTGTTGACTGCACGGATAACGACGTCATCGCTCATGTAGACTCGGTTTAAAGGTTCGATCCCCACATGGGACAACACTTTGTGTGATCGACAATCTGTTGTTCTGAGTCTGGGTGTTCTTTGTGTCCGTTTCATGTATGTTTGTATAGTCCCCTGCATTACAGGAATATGTTCCTAATGTCTTTAAGAAATGATTCTGCGATGCTCAATGTTCCGGTAGAAATCTATAATAGATAAATTTAAAATAAATTACTTTCTCCTTTTCATGTTCTTCGTGTGCTATATACCTACTTAATATCTGGTTAAGTTTAAAGGCTTATAGGCTAACGTTCTCGATTTTCTTTAAGTCTCGACATCTCGATTACCTAAGAACTAGTTTGACACTTAATACTTTAATACTGTACTGTCTACAACTGCAATTCGATACAAGTTGCACAAATCGTATTAGTTTTCAAATTTATTGTATATATATCCTATGCAAAAACCGATAAAGCATCATACATTTACTGACTTTAGAAAGAACAACTAAAGAACCACCATGATTCAAAAGGTAAAAAATATTTAAAAGTTTTAAAGTAAATTTCGTAAATAAACTAAGATATTAAAAATGCATCGTGACGTAATTAATTTTTTTGTCGAATAGCCATACTTTAACACATATGGGTCTGATCGATCTGAGTGACGACACACAGTCACAGTCTTACAGAATATCGGTTCTAAGCAATATTTCTTACTTTTCACCAAATCGCAACGTCATCTGGCAACTTATTTGTGCATCTTGAGCTTCAGGTGTTCATAGGTGGCAGTAATCACTTACTAGTAGGTGGCCAGTCTGCTCCAAAAGAAGCCATCAAATAATTAACACCTATCTTTGTTTTATTTTTAATTATCATAATTAACAATTTTAATTCTTAATCTGCTTTCAGTTTGCCGTTCTCTCTGGACTTGTCTTATCTGCTTCGTGTATGCTATCACATCAGCCTTCGTTCCAAGTTCCCCATGATTATTACTACGATGCCAATCCTAATTATAAATTTGCATATGAAGTAAATAATGCTCATACTGGAGATTTCAAGAGTCAACACGAGAGTCGACGAGGAGGGACCGTGCTTGGACAGTATTCTTTAATACAACCTGATGGTGTGCAAAGGACTGTGGATTATAGAGCGGATGACCATTCAAGATTCCAAGCTACTGTAAACAATCAAGAAAGACAAGCTAATGGACATGCTGCAAATGTGAACATTAATAGCGTTGCAGTGGAGAGGCAATCTAATTCGCCAGGTAGTTTAGCGAATTTTGGAAATGTGAGGCCAGTTCAATCGTACCAAGCCTGGCCAACATCCACAGGCCCTCATCCAGACCCAACACCTTCAGTACCAGTGGCTGTATCTAGATCTTCTTTCGTCCAAACAATTTCACATGGCCCAGTTCCAACTCCCCGAAACCGTCACAATCTTTGGGAATAAACTGAAAAATATCAAGATACGGCATCGAATGAATATGGAATCCGCTAATTTGCATTTATATTTTAAGTTGTATAATAGTTTGCTTCAAATCTCTACAAGTTATGACTAAGAGATAATCTACGTAATTGCTGGCCGGATCTCGTTCACCTTGCTACTATGCAAGTCACTATTGAAAAGGAAATTTGAGTCGGCGACCGGAATAATTAAACGATAAATACTCTTTAATACCGCACGCTATAAATTATATATTGGGTTTATGTTGCTTATTTATATGTATTATTTTGAAATAAATCCTTACTTTGAATATTCTCATGGTTTGTTGTTTAATAAGTATGGCACAGCTATAATATATCCGATATTAAACGCTAGGTAGTTCGAAAAAAAAGTAAAATTTTCTTTAGCTTCTCTTTTATTGATGTTGAAAACAACCTAATTACAAACAAAACAAGAGATTCGATTAGAAATGATATTAAATATAAAATTTAACATTAAAAAACTACTCTAAAAGTAATGTCATTGTACTTAAATATTAATGGTTGAAACTTTCTTCTTTGTTCTTTACTTTCTTTATTAAAAAGACAACTCCCGCATTAGGAATAAATCCTGTGTCGCGGGGGACTTTACAAACACACATGAAACGGACACAAAGAACACCCAGACTCAGAACAACAATTTGTGGATCACACAAAGTGTCGTCCCATGTGGGGTTTGAACCCACAGCACTCGGCGTAGTAGGAAGCGGCGTGGCGACCGCTTAAACCACTACGCCATCCGTGCCATTCTTAAAACGAATATTATAAATTTTAGGAATTTCGTTTTTAATATAACAATTCTCACCTGTTCAAGAGTATTGTTGTATTGTAGTATCATATAAAAACGATTTTTTATAAATATCTTCATTTCATGTGATTTTTAAATTTCCATAACACTACACATTTATCACACTTTTACCTTATATAATTTTGTGTTTTATTGTGATTGTAAAAAAAACATTATTGGAACTTTGAGCAGGAATGCAACATAATTTCGATAAGTAAAGTCAATAATACTTACATAAATCGATACATATATTTATACATCTATTATACATTTGAATTTGATATAAATTATACAGTTATATGCTCGCATATATTTATCAGATATCTTATTCCTTTATGGAACCACCAATTATCTTTAAGAAAATATCAACGAATTTGTTTTTTTTCATAATTTTATCAAGAACATCCTAAAGACGTAAGACAAATACATAACCAGTTTTTTGATCTCACCAACGCCGTTGAGACCTTTTTCTTCGGTGCATCGCCCTGATTCGAACTTGACTTTTACACGGTTCCTGAATTTCTCTTTAAAAGAATCAGCTTAAAATAGAACTGGAACAATTAACTGATGATATAAAAACTTGTCGCATCTGAGTAAACAACATCAGATTCATTGGATCTTTCGACGTAGTCACAACATCAATACACCCATCCAACAAAATGTTCGTGAAGGTAAACATATTTCTAACTATCTATTCTTGGCTAACTTGGAAAAGAGACACATCATAGGTCTGCTCTAGTAACTAGCTAAGCTAACTAACCCGTAACGTTTACCAAAAGGCACTCAATTTCGGACTAGCTTGTATATTTTTTTTATCATTTTTTTAAAGACAACTCCCGCATTAGTACTATATCTTCATGAAACGGACACCAAGAACAGCCAGACTCAGAACAACAATTTGTGGATCACACAAAGTATCGTCCCATGTAGGGTTTGAACCCACAACACTCGGCGTAGTAAGAAGCGGCGTGGCGACCGCTTAAACCACAACGCCATCCATGCAGATTATAAAAAAATGATTTCATTTATTATAGTTCGTCGCTATCCTCGCCCTGGCTGTCGCCGTGAGCGCGTCCGATATCTCCAGCTTCTCATACGGTGTAGCGGACCCTTACACCGGAGACTTCAAACACCAGATCGAAAACCGAGTGAACAACAACGTGCAGGGACAGTACTCGCTCCTGGAGTCTGACGGCACCCGTCGCACCGTGGACTACGCTGCTGGCGCTGAAGGCTTCAACGCCATCGTCCGCAAAGATTCCGCGCTCCTCACCGCTGCTCCCATCATTTCATACGCTTCTGCTCCCTTCCCTTATGCTGCTCCTTACGGTTTTGCCAAGTTTGGATCTTTGGGTTACGCCACTCCATACGGATATGCCCGCTACTACTGAATCTAACCACGAAAACACCTTGTCTTGTAAATATTGGTACTGTAAATAAAAATATAAAATTCTGGTCATTTATATATTATTCTGTTTTAAGTATCTATTCAATTTTGTTACAAATCCAAATTTGTTGCTCTAGACTAGACTATAGTAATATAATATTTAATATGAACTAATTGGCCCCAAAACAAAGAAAACTTCCTAACACAGTTGCTTGAAGGTTAGTTGAGTAATTAAAAATTTATAAAACAAAAAAATAATTATAGAATGACTTATCTTCACGCTCTCTTACACCTAAAGGGTAAAACGTAGACAGAGTCAATGTTACTCTATTGCCAATGTAATTTATTTAAGTATTGTAAAGCATGTCAGATTCCTGTACGTTTTGTAACCGGCTAATTATAATAAATTTGAAGGTCCTAGTATGACAAAGAATGTTCATAGTATCTCAATCTCAGGATTAAAAAAAAATGAAACATTATATTTTCTACTTATTTTCTTGCCTATAAAATCGCGTTCCAGAAGAAATAGAGAGCTTTATTCCCGTCAAGAATAGGGAGAGACACTAAAACGCCATTTTCCACGATCCTGACAGCTCGCGCTTCTTCCATATTTCATCAGTCTTCGTTGGACGTGTTTGTTTATCAAGGCTCTTTTGCAGTATTTTGTTGATCTGGTTAGTATATGTCTTTTGAGGCCTGCCCGCACCAACTCGCCCACTCACAGGGGTCTTAGAAACGCTTTTTTCATTTTTTTAAGCCAAAGTTTAGATTTCACGAAACAGGGTTAGACTTTCCTATAAGAAAAACAAATATATTGAAAACTAGGCTTGATTTTCTCACTAGGCACGTCTGTTTCTTGCATGAATAAGCTTTCGTCCCTACAAAATAGCTGATGCTAATATCTCGAAAGATGGTCACTGTAGATTCTGGCAGGAGAAACTATTCAAGCATACAAAAAACCTGTAACATGATGAGAATGTATGTCGGTAGTAGACAACGCTGCCAAGTTCTGCTTCTATTTAGGTCATACCTTGTCCATCTAACTGCCAGTTAAGTTAATTAATAAAATATATCAAATTGGGAACGAACTCATTTTGTTTTAAATATTACAAAGCCTTAACCAACTCGTTAAATATCGTGTACGTTCAATGTGATTCTTTATTTAATTGTTTCTTAACATCCATTCAACAAAATTATTAATTATGAACTGCTTAATTCATACAGCCGTGTTTAGTAATAATACCTCATTATAATTTTTAATGTACCATTAAAATAAAACGTTCACACAAAGTGTTGTAAACTCATTTGTCTTACATTCAAGGCTTCCAGACGATTTATAGGCATTTAGCAAAAAAAAAATAGTACAACTCTCTTCTCTTTCGAAATATTATTTCCTGGTTACATATAATGCTGTCATGAAATATGCTTAGAATATGCTATAGTAGGCCAAAACCTCCTTTCTACGGAGTGGCCTATGTCCAGCAGTGGACTATTAAAGGCTGTTGATGATGATGATGATGAATATGGTTAATCGATTATGTAATAGGACGGACATATATGTAACAGGAGTACTATAGAGCGTCCATTTTTTTTTCTACATAAAAACCACTCTCATTATGCTGTACCTTGACCTTTGTATATAATCTTTTTTTTTTGTGGTATAGCAGAGCAAACGTGTGAGTAACCACCACGGCTCATGAACATCGGCTACTCAAGACTCATCAGTGCGTTGCCACCCTTTGAGTCCTCCAGAAATATGGGGAGGAGGAGTTTGGGCTGCGGTACCCACACTCACTAGGTGAAAAGCAACTAAAGAATTGCTTCATCAACAGCCTTTACTAGTCCACTGCTGGATGTAGGCCTCTCCTTAGAAAGAAGGTTTTGGCCTACTATACCATGCTGGCCAGACGGGTTGTTATAGGGTTTGTTTCAAGTTTTCCTTCTCTTTGCAGTGCTGTTGTCCCTTAGTCAGCTCTTACCACACCCACAGCACGGAAAAAGGAGCGAGATCTCTAGCGGAAAAAATCACTTGAATTTTTTTTAAGTTTTCACAGTTCTGTCATGTATCTGGGAGATTTATAATTATGCAGCGGTTGTAGGGCAACTCTTAATGAAAACAATATCTAAAATATTTTATCCGTGCACGATTTTTCTGAAGCACCTACGTTTAGATTTTCGCAAATTTTGTGGCAACTTAATATTTTTCATTTTAATTTTATTTTTTACAAAAAACAACAGTATTTAAAACTATTAATTGAAGCCCCGAACGGAATATCTAGGACTCACACAGGCTGAGAAAATGAAGGGCCAAAATGACGATTTTATTAGAGATAAAAGCGTGTTCTCTCGTAAAGTTTGAAACGGAATCGATTTCAGCAGCTCTCATTTTCTTCGTTTTTTCTCACACTACAACCTCCAATTTTTTTTTCCATTAAAAAAATGTTCCCTGTTTTTTTTCAATAAACCGGTTTTTTCAAACTTTCAATAACTTGCCGGCTACTGATTTTTTTCAAAGTGTTTTTTAACTAATACTTTACCCAAATTAATCACGTTGAAAAACCTTTCAGTTTATTATTTTTCGAACTGAACTATCTCAGCCTGTACTATTGGTAATAATGCATGGAATGAGTTGTTTGTTTACTCATAGAACCAACATCTTTGTTGGGCAGTAACAACACCATACTAAGGAAAAGTTAAAGGAAGAGTAACAGTTGTATTTTTATTTTATTTACTCTCATTTTAACTCTGAGGTGGTTTATTAAACAGTTTATTCCGTTCAGTCAAAAGTTTCAAC